TTTTTTGCGAGTACTTGATTGGAAAAAAAAAACTTTTTTTCATCTTTGTTGAAATGTCTTTAAATTGCCAAATGATGTATATTGATTTTTAAAAAAATAATTTTTTTTTATTTGACACTCATTTTTTTTGCGGCTTTTGGACGTATAATGTTTTTAATTACGTACAAGTTATATTTTTTGGTGGTAATGGATTTTGATTTTGGTTACTTTATAGTTCTATAACGCGTTGAAGACTGAACGATTTTTGTCATGTGACTTTTTGACGTGAGAAATCACGTGAGATGTCACGTGAAAGATCACGTGAGAAATCACGTGATTTTAATTAGTAGGGAAGTTACCCTTGTGAAGCAGTACTCCTGATCAAGGCTCTTAAAAATGGCTCCATACCTCTGGGAAATTCAAAAATGCACTTTAACACATGCTCTTTAACCTGATAAACCCGAAGCCTTGTAATAACCTTGTAATCGCAAAGACTTTTACCAAATAATCCAATATCCACGGAGTTTTTAATTATATAACATAGGGAAAATGCCCATATGACTGTCTATAGCCTTATATATAGTTCCATGGTTCCAGATAATGAGGTTAAATGCTTCAGGATGTATTGAGTTATGTTGTTGAAAGCTCTGTGATTACAGGGTTATGAGGTGTGATTCTGAGGTTACCGAATTATATTATTTTACGCGCCTACAACAGAAAGTGGGTTAGTAATGACCACGTAGTCATTGCTACCAGAGCCGAAGGTACGATCAATTACTCTAGAAGAGTGCTTATAGAGTTCTTTGGAGTGTCTGCTTGTTTATCTCTTTTTTTAACATCAGTCTAAGTATTTTTCACCCCCTCTCTCTAAGCTCCTGTTACAGTTGATCATTTTAAATACGAATCCATTAATGTAATATATAGATTGTATATTAATTTAAAGCAGTGCGTAAACGTTTCATTTCGTTATTGAAATACTTACGGCGAAAGGAATTTTCTGGAACCATATGACAGGTGTTGTTACTGTTGTTGGTTTCTCAGGTAATTCTTTTTTACATTTTTTACATCGAGACGATTCGACAGATGTGTTATTGCAAAACGAGCAAACTGCTGACAACCCTTCTATGAATTTTGATGGCTAGATAAAACAAATATTAAATAAACTCTTATTACAAAAAAATATTAACAAATTTACTCAAAATTTATTGTTAAAAAATTTCGATACACTGAAACGATTCCACGCATAAGTGTACAATTGACCGACCATTACAAAATGATATTTAATAAATTTTCAACAAACTGCATGCTGGTATATATTATATGTTAGGTATATTTTTAGAAACAATTGCTCCAGCAACGTCTAAAGTAGAAGCATGGATCAGAAGCAATAAGATCTATTAAAATAGCACAAGCAATACCACTGTATGATAATAAAGGAATAAAAAACTAAAATACATCGTGTCTTTGATTCGTATTTACTTCTCGTATTTTAGAGTGATCCATCTAACTGAGCTTACTGTAGTACACTTGTATGATGACTTCTTACACATATTTATTCCAACGTACTATAATAAATATAATGAATACCTTTTCTGATGATTCACTGCATGATGACACTGTAGGAATTTTCTTTGAACTCACGCGACTCCTCTCAGATATGCAATCAGACCTGATAAATAACAATACACATCTTCTAAAAATACCAATATACGTCTTAAAAAAGTTGAAATTATAATAGTAGTAGTACTTTATGTTTCAAAGTTGTCAGATGCGTTTTCTTATTTAAAAAAAAAAAAAAAAAAAATTGTATAAGTTTATCACAGGTCAGTTTACGTTAAAATTGTAGATAACGCAAAACACTTTTTTATGGTTTTACTGTTACTTACCAAACTTCGGGGTTTTCAACTACAGAAGACAAACTGCAGTTATTATCTACAACAAAAAATAAAATAAATAAGTAAATCAAATAAAATACAATTTCCAGTTTCCATTTGCAAATACGTTTAAGACAAAATAAACCAAGTAATATAAATCGATAAATAACTACAGGTATAGTATTTTCGGTTGCAACCTATTTAAGGTATTTGTAGCGATCATATTTTTTCGTCACAATAAATACAAAATTGTTTCGCTTGCAAACAAAACAATATGTTCTTCAAGCAGTACTTGATGTATCACAAGTACAATTCACTCATATGCAACGAGGGAAGAGTCGGTCGTTGGCATGCGAATTTCATTTCACTGTAAGGTACATTATTCTCTTGCTTTCAGCAATCTTTCTCTAATTTTCAAGTTCCAAATTTTTCAATTACTATAAGAAAATTCTACTATAAGGAAATATAAATATGCAGGAATTTATCGAATAGTTACGTTTTATGTTCTCGGCTTAAAAATAATTGTGATGTATACTACACATCTTGCATTTCCATAGTCATGAAAAATAGAATTAAACAAGTTGCAAACTGTTGTATGTATTATTTATTTAAAAAATTGTTATGAATAGTATTTCAAAAATACTACATACCATTTACCAATGCAGTGTATGCATATTCCTCGTTATCATTCTTCAGCACTGCTTCTGATTCGGAATCGGATTTGTGAGGGGACATGAATGATGATGGTGTACTACCTTCGCCATTGTTAATGTCAATGTTTATCATATCCTCAGATAATAATAATAATTTTGATAATTTACTTTTCTTCTTTAATAAAGTTTCACTGTAGTAAACTTCATTTGGAAGTTTCATTAGTTGCTGTGAGTTATTACTGTTTTCAATAACGAAACTGCTATTTTCCATCCATAATAATACTTTTTCATAATAATTGATTTCTTCTGTAGGTAACTACCGAAAAATATGTTATTTTTAAAAATCAGACGAAATTTTTAATATTAATTATGTTTGTTAGCATAGTCATAACAAAATGTTACTGGTTCTCGTGTGTAAAATTATTTTTGAAAAAAACTGTGTAGGTAAACGTTAATGCAATAACGCACAGATAATCTGGCTACCACAAGGAAAATAATTATTTAAAATAATCAGTCGACCTTACGAGCAATACAGTCCGCTTGTGAAACAGCTTATACCCTCCTTCCTTTAAAGTAGCATGGTACAACATAAATCGATTGAGCGAGTATGAGGAGGCGTACGTTAGGTCACATTCTTTCTCATCAATACAAAGAAGGGATTACATTTATATCAAATACTACGGTTTTTCATAAAAATCACTACCAAAATATCGAATTCCAGAGAAAAAATTATAAAATAATTTATTTTGTTTAGTGATCTATAAATGTCAATAACAATGTTTAATATTTTACAACTAGTTATAGGACATTCAATTTTGATTAGCCTTGTTTTGAGCGTTACAAGTACAATATACAGAAAAATGCCTTACTCAACAAAGTAGTGTTTCAGGAGGCTCCGGCAAAAAATAAAAAATGTTAAATAATGCTAAAACACAATTACGTTCTTTGTAAAAACATTTTATATGCGTATGAATTTTCTCAATGTTTATTCAGACATATTTTCTGAAAAAATTCATTTAATTCCACAGTTTAACATGTTTTATGTGAATCAGTAATTAAATTGTATTCAAACTACCATTAAAATAAATCAAAACTTTTTAAAAGCAGTTCAAAATTTTCTCCTAGTTGAAAATACACTAATTGAAAATAAGCTATTTATTAAAAAAAAACCACGTAAAAAATGTTCAAATAAACTACAGTTAATACAATTCAATTAGTGAACCATATATGTTACATTGTAAAATTAAATGACTTTTTTCTCGAAAATACGCCTGAAAAAAAAAATAATGGAAAAAATTTACGTGCACATAATAGTGTTCAAAAAAAAACGTTACGTTTTTTTGAGGGTGACGTAACATTTTTTTATTTTTGGACAGAACTTCCATAATTTAGATTTACAATTGTAGAATTTATCATTTTCTTGTATAATTTATTCGTGAGGCCTTACACTATCTGCTATTACCTAAGATAACGAAAGCGAAGTGATCTTGATAATTAAATTCAATACCAATTGTAGGACTTATTTTGAACCCCTTAAACATTACGTTAAGAATCAGTTTTACTTTGAAACTAAACAATTTGTAAGTGTCCACACTTTTTGCTGACAGAAACAAAAAAAATACTCAAGAATTGCATTATCGAATATCCTTCATAATATACATTTGTAACTATGTTAAAGTCGGGACTAGATAAGATTCGCAACGATCCGTTACTACGCTCGAAAAATCTTAGAACGAATAGATATTGTCTTGGTGTTGTCTTGTAGAAGTGTTACTTTTAATTTAAATTATAAAATAATACATACATCAACTTTTTATTACGTGAAAGCCACTTTTCATAATTTATAATAAAAGTTATATGGCTGTGTGATAAATTAGAGTCTCTGAAAAATGAACATTTAAGTTACGATATTGACATACAAAATACCAAATGTTCAATAAAGACTAATTTTGAATATTAATATTCTTTTGAAGAGAATTTATTATTTGTCATAACATTTCAACATAACCTTAACAAGTATTGTAATAGACGAATCTTGAACTGTATTGTAATCTTACAGTTGCCCCAAATATATCGCGTATTTCAGAAAAAATGAAAAATTTGCTTAATATGTAAAAAATGTGTCTAAGCTTCTATCTGGAGAAAAATATAAAAATATGGTAAGTGATACAAATATTTCGATATGGTTAAAACATCCCTTTACATTTATCCAAAAATTTCTTTCATGGCTAAAGGTTTACTAAGTACAAGTTCAAAATCTGTTACTGCCGACTGCTTATTTTCATACAGCTCATTAACTGTGACAAACAAAAGAACTTCTTTTAAAAATATTACAATAAAGAGATGGTAACTTTGTAAAAAGAGAAATAGGCATTGTGCAATGTAACATACATTAAATTGATTTTTTTCCCGAATTTTTCTTACGTAACATAATTATTGTTTGAATTTTTTAAAGCTTATTTATGCTACCTCAATGTTGTTTATTTTTATTTATGTAATATTTTCAATAAGATATATGAACAGATTTGACCTTTATTTTTACTGCTGGTTTTCTTTATACATAAAACTTTGCAAGAATCTTGTCAAGATTAAAGTTTTTGAGAACTGTAATCCAGTTATTGTATTCAAAATTCAAATAGCGTATTGTCTCAAATTTGGCTCGAAAACCAAAAAAATACTAGATAATATCAAGAGTACTCTTGTTATCTCGCTAAATTCCGTATATAAAATACAAATTACCTGCACTGAAGATTGGCTCGTATCATATTTCTGTTTATTGATAATTTTAGGCTGTTTTGTTTTATTGTGTGTCAAGTTTTTGGATTCTTCTACGAGCATAGCTTGTGACGAAACGATTTCATTTTCTTTGAAATTGTGTTTCGATTCCACTGTGTCCCCAATTACTTTCACGTTATTATGTATTAGTGGTCCGAGTTTTTGTTGAAAGCTTTGTAGCTGTAATGGTGATCAAATAAACAATATAAAAAATTGATTCAAATTCACTCTCATTTACGACATTATTAGAAAAACAGTACAATTTATATGTACGTGTGTTTATTGATATAGTATTACAAAATGCAAAGTTATTTTAGTAACATGACTTTTTACAGCGGAAATTCTAAGCATTATAAGATGTAAATAAATAAGTAGCCAAAGATCATTATCGTGTTCTAAACACCTACATTTACTAGTAACTCCTGTATGTGATCTGGTAGATCTGCAGTCTTTATGGGACTTTCGTTATTTCGACACACTCTTCTATACATTAGTATGTACGCCGTAGTACTTCTCTTTTTCGGGTCAATATGGGTAGTCCCCTTTTCTCCATATACTTTTTCTATATCTTCTGCATTGACCTACCATTAAATTTTTTTTTTTAATCAACATAACATTTTACTTTGAAACGTCAATGATGCACGTATACATTCTCAAGCCACATACAAACATTTTTGAAAAAACATGGAATGAAGAAGGGTTGGTTCAGGAAGTTGGGACAGAGTACTGAGTTTACTTGGATAATGGAGGATGGGGTGAGAAGTTACTCATCCGGTTCAGAAGAAACATCTGCAACGCTAAGATGATAAAGAGTGGCCATAAAAATCACGTAGGTGATGTACGATAGAAAAAAAATTATAAACTTATATTGCAGTAATCATTGCAAAAGTGTAACTTACTAATATCTTTCTTTTACGAACTAAAAAATATTGGTACAATTAAATCACAAGAACATTAAATACGATAATAATTAATCAACAGACAAACTATACAGTTACTTAATATTAGTTCTAATACGAAAACATGCATCATGGCATTTTTTGTGATTTTTGCTGATTATATGTTAATATTTTAAACGGAAGGGCGTATAAAAGTATAAAAAAACCTTACAGCGTCGCGGACAGCTATATTGTTCCTTATTCCTCCATATTGTAACTAAAAGTATTATATTTATTTGTACTGATCTAGAAAGCAGCTGACTACTCTCAAGCTCGTGTACAAGATCCAATATAATATGATAAATAGATTTTACTATGTATTGGGCTTAAGCGATACCGCCTTCGAGACGAGACAAGACGGTATCGATAAAAAAATACCAAGACAGAGACCAGACCTCCCAAAGTCTAGTCTCGTCTCGAAGTCTCGAAAAATTCCCGAGACCTTAGAGACTCCAGGAAAAAATTTTCGAGACCTACGATATTTTTGTGAGTCTCGAAGGTCTCGAAGAAAATTTTCGAGACCTTCGAGACTTTTTGGGGAGTATCGGTGATCTCGAGGAAGATTTTTGAAATTTTCGAATTCATCCAGTGATTGGCAGAAAGCTTGGACTGCGGTCACATGTGTGTACACAGATTACAAAAAAGCTCACACGAGACAGTTATACAGGTTCAAAAAGCTTTTTTCGTATACATTACATGTAGATTTTACAATTTTGTGGCCACAGTATTAGGCCGCGTTCTGACGGAGCGGCAATGGATGAGACGTTTAAACCTGCGGGAGCGAGTGAGACGTGCACGGCAAAGGTGGTAGACCGCGAGTTACATGGTGCGTCAATGTGTCACTACATCATGCGTAAAGCTCATGAGACATTTGGAAGCGAGGAGGAGATACGTGAAAGGCTTAATCCCCTGACCTTTCTTTCACTCTCACAATTTTATATGAGCTTTACGCAACTTAGTAACGGCCTACCACTTTTGCCGTGCACGTCTACAAAATTGTGAAATGCACATGTAATGTGTACGAAAAAAGCTTTTTGAACCCGTATAACTGTCTCGTGTGAACTTTTTTGTAATCTGTGTACACACATGTGACCGCAGTCCAAGCTTTCTGCCAATCACTGGATAAATTCGAAAATTTCAAAAATCTTCCTCGAGACCACCGAGACGAGAAGGTCTCGTTGCATTTCTCAATATAGCACATGCCTACTATAAACAATAAAAAAAAGGAATCAAACAGAAATGCTGTACGATCTCATATCACCGTGTTCGGCTAATGAAATATATTGTTTTAATTAAAATGAAGAGAAATATAAACACTTAGATTGTGNTTTACTTTGAAGCAATGAAAGATGCCATAGGAAAATAAGAAAATTTAGAAGAAAAAAAAAAAGAAAAAGTAGAGGAAGTAGAACTGGAAGAAGTGGAATCCGGATCATCAAAAGATAAAGATTTTTTATGCCAAGCGATGTACAATAATATGAAAAGAGTCTTCCTCGAGACCACCGAGACGAGAAGGTCTCGTTGCATTTCTCAATATAGCACATGCCTACTATAAACAATAAAAAAAATGAATCGAACAGAAATGCTGTACGATCTCATATCACCGTGTTCGGCTAATGAAATATATTGTTTTAATTAAAATGAAGAGAAATATAAACACTTAGATTGTGCATTTTGTACTTAGTCGTGTGTTCAGTCGGATAATTGATCAAGACCATCAATGTAATGAATAGCTAATACATAGTTATTATCAATGTTTATGGGTCATTCTACCGAAAACGGTATTATGGTCACGGAAAATACGAAAAAAAAATTTTAACATTTAAAAATTCATTTTACTTCAGTGTCCGTCCATTCCGGTTTTCGTAGAATGACCCATATACAATTCATCTAAAAATAAAAAATATAAGATTCGTCGACTGCGTACTTATTTTACTCTGTTGTCAAGTAATAACCAGTTTATTTCATTAATATTAATATAATACATTACCAGCGTAACTGACTCGTCATTGAAGCATATCCATACTTTTGTCTCCAGATCTTTTATGAATGCGTAATAATAACCTTCGGAAGCATTGCCATCATGAATAATGATAGAAAACAATTCGTAACTGTCTATAATCAGAATTAAAATATAAGTGTTAAATATTACAGAAATTTAAAATCGTAATTACTAAATGTTCAAAGTTGTACGTTGAATGCTTGTGTCTACAGCGAAAACTTGGTGCACTAGCTATTAAGATAGATAATCTTTGGACCAAGTTAGTCAAGCGAGTGAAGTGCGTCATTAACCGTATTATGACAGTCTTATAGGTTATGGATGTGTGCTTTTGTAATGGGAAAAATATTAATCAATAAACTGATTTTGATTTTGTGCCATCACCCCATAATTTAAAACGACTAAAAGTAAGTACTAATTTTAAAGTTTTGTACAGTATTTTTTATAAAAATGTTTGATTTGTTACGTATATCTTTAAAGCTATTATTGATGTACTTCATTACAGCCCATGTTAAAAAACATGTTTTAAACTCAATTATCTACAAAATTAGTACTGATACGTTACCTTTAAAAAATTTTTGATAACACAAAAAAATTTAATGTATAACATATTTCAAATTCAAGAAAAATGTGATTTGTTAGTGGTGACAGATTTTCTACCTTAAGTTGCAAAAAAAAATTTTATTTTAATTTGTTTTGTAAATTTGCTTTATTCTTGATGTGTAGCTTAATTTCTTTTTTTTAACTGTTTTATCAGGTTGTACATTTAAACATTAACTTCTCAGTGTTTGTTCAAATTATTTAGACAGCTTGTTATTATACCTATACTATGGGAATGTTGCAAAAATGTTTTAGTGCAATTTTTTTTACAGATTTTAATACATATGCTTCAAAATAGTACTTATATATGAATAAAGTTTAAAAATTCCCAACTGGTGATGTACGATAGAAAAAAAATTATAAACTTATATTGCAGTAATCATTGCAAAAGTGTAACTTACTAATATCTTTCTTTTACGAACTAAAAAATANCTATACTATGGGAATGTTGCAAAAATGTTTTAGTGCAATTTTTTTTACAGATTTTAATACATATGCTTCAAAATAGTACTTATATATGAATAAAGTTTAAAAATTCCTAACTATTCCGTATTACATATATATATAGTTCGAACATGTATTACATAGTAGAACGAAAGATTGGGAGTTGATTCTGTATTGCAGAGCAAACAATGAAAAAAAGGAGTCTGTTTGGTGGTTCGAGCAAACACTGGCTTTGTTAAAAAATTATGTGTAATCGATCGTTTTACTTTCAAAAGCTCACCATCTACTTTAGTCGTAGAAACTTATTATTTTGCGTTTCAATTTCAATAAATATTTCTTTCGTAAAATGTTTCGTAGCATGTACTTTTTTGTAATGTAAATACGAGATTAAATTTTTTTGCGCATCAAATACGCGGTGTTACGTCATACTCGACTAACATTGTACATTGTACATACATGTATGTCATTTCAAAAAAAAGTCCCTATATTTTGAGATGTACAATAATATTTTTGAAATTGAGTTTTTAAAATTTTTCTTCATTTCTCCTATGCTACTAACGGTTCAAAAATAAATTTTATAAAAAAGTTCAATAGTACACTAAGAAACGAGGGAAAAATATGTTGTTCCCTCCCGGGTCTAAGTTGACACCCCACAGCTGACGCGAAGGTAGGAATGTAAAATACCCAGGAGTTGATGCCGTACTGTATTCCCGAGTCGCGTATACGATTTTTTTTCTTCGACCGCTAAAAATACGACTTTTTTTAATTTAAGGGAAGGAAGTGTTACATAACTTCCTGAGAACAAAATCGCATTTACTGCTGTATGGGAAAGTATCTGCGTGTAAATTGTCTCCCGTGCCAAAGGCGAGGAAATTCAGAGGGTAACAAAAACATTTTCTGTGAGAAGTAAATGCGATTCTTTACCTGAGAGGGAGTGTAACCCTTGCGCCCATGAAATCAGGGAGGAAAAGTAATATAGGTGTGTGTTTCTTATTGTTTCACATAACTCGTATAGAACCAATTTATATTTTAGAGCTTTATAATTACATTTCCATTCGTACATAAATTAATAAAACTTGTTTACCTGTTTCTATGTTATCAACACAGGGTTGACTCTTGCCTAAATTTCTCTGGATCCCATGCAAACTTAGAAATGCAGGAAATAAAAGCCTGTAATAAAATAAAATTATTGTACCGCAACAATTACGTCTATATTATACCCGTATTCTCGTGGTACTCGTAAAATTATTTTTAAAAGATTTTTTGATATTTAAACCATCTCTACTCTCAAAGTAAAACACGATGATCTACTTGTTTATGAATGTATTTTAAGGGGAGGGGATTCTCGAATTAGAGTACAACATTTTTTGAAGAAAAAATAAGTACATGGGAATTTGTTAGAAAAATTACGAGAATACATATTTTTGTAGGACAAAGAAAAACTACTTCAAAATAATTATTACAAATGTGTAATACTTCAAGCTTTACTAAATATGTAGTAACTGAATAATGTACAATATATACAAACATTTATATGTATCTGAGCTCTGAATTCACAATAAAACCTAATTTATAAAATTGTTACGTACTTTGTATGAATGCGACTAACCTGTTTTCTAATTTAATATTTTGTTTTTTCTCTTGGTCATAATTAAATCTTTTCAAGTGGATAATCAGTACATAAGGCTCTTGTGTCAACAGTTGTTCTTTCAGAGCATAAACAGTTTCATCGCATTCCTTACAATAATGCTGCATAACTTCGGGCTTCATAAAGTCCGTAAGAGCTGCTTTCTGTAATGTAATATTTTATAAAAACACAAGCAGTGTCAGCAAATTAAATATGATTACGAATAGTAATACACAACAAAAAAAATATATGTACCAAACTGGCAAAAGAATTCCCACTTGCATCTATTACAGGTAATGAGATGTCCAAAAAATTTTCGTGGTGAATACATTTTTTTCTGCATGTTAAACAAGTCGTAGAGTATTGTATGTGACCTACAAATATGTGCACATTAAGATCAGTCTTTAGAAGCATTGTAGTATATAATAAACTGTCAATTAAAATAAAAATTAAAGCACAATTATGACACTAACAAGAATTTTTAAATATGTTTAATAATATATGGGTTGTTGTTGTTTGTGCCTTATTAAAAATATTAGTATTTCGAAGTGAACGTTTATTTTGATACCATACAGTTGCACGTTACGAAAACTTTAGAAAATAAGGAGTTTCATCATACACGGAAGATTTTGCAAGAAACAAAATACGTAGGGGTGAAAGGTAATATTTTTCAAATTCATTCTTTTGAAATTTTTAATTTATTTTTTCCGTTCTGTACGATCCAAAGTTGCAGGCAATTTAAAGTCCAGGCTTCATTGCTATTTTTAGAAATCTCAATTGATTTTAATGCCATTTTCAAAAACAATCAAAAATCTGAAATGGTGAGTCTGAAGCCTCAAATTGGAGTTTTGCAACAAACTGTAGTGTTCAACATTAAATGTTCACCTGCTGAGATTATCTAATTAAAATGTGAAATCGTGTCAAGATAAAGAGCGTAACATAATGACTGCTTATTGTACCAGGATAAAAGCTGTTTACGACAATAGTATAACCAGCCACACGTGAATTTTGGGTTGCAAAAAAATTGATGATAGACTTGTACAATACAAATTGTAAAACGGTAAAACTCATCGATTTAAGGCTTTATGATGTTATTTGAAAAAATCATCCATCACGTATAATTTAAAAGAGTAAAAAGTCGGCTTCTTAAATACAACTTTACGTACTTTTTTAAAAACATGTTTTTTATCATTCTAAACTTCAAAAACAGGGTTCACGAACTCCGCTGCCTCACACACCGCTAAAAATAAAAATTTTAAAAGCTTGACATTGTGTTAAAGACGTTTTTTTTATCTTACAGCCACGTTGTATATTTCTTCGATGGTGTCTCTAAAATGTTTTTATAGGAAATTTACGTACACTATTTAAAAACACTTCCGACTCAAAATTTGTTAATGTAAGGTTTTTTAGTGGATGGCTTCATAGAATTAAGGATGTTTTGTATAGTAGAAACAGTCGATTGAGTCAGACACATTACGTTGTCTTTTGTCTGAGGCTATATTCAGTTTGTTTAAAAAATTGTTTTCTATGAAGTTTGCTTGCGTGTACAGGATTTCACTTTTCTCTAGAAAGCTCGAGCAAACGTATCAGTCCTTGTAGCCTAAAAAGAAGTTTTAATGCTACATTTATTTTTCTTGACGATATCTTGTTGTCTTAAACATCTCTAAAACGTCTCCTTCGAGACTACATTTCTTTATGACGACGAGAAGACGCGGGTCTGTCTCGCCAGCAGCCCTATAAACTCTAAGCAGTGAGGCCTCTGGGGCCTTGCTCTCATGCAACGTGAATACGTATTCATATTTATATTAATTGTTTTTCTGTATTGTTTAGATGCCATAAAAATAAATGATTTGCATAGATAACAGAGAAATTTGTTTCTGTAAAAGTATCCAAGTATGAAAAAATTCTGATGAAACAAAAATTATTAAATTACATCCTTTTCTCTGACAAGATTGATCAGTGTTTTTAAATTAACACTGTCAAGTTGATTAACAGATTACTTTTTTTCTTTGAAAGTCTAATAATACAGCCAGAGTAAAGTAAATGTGTATTTAAGTTGGAAAGTAATATAAAAAATGTGCATGTAAAAATATTAGTTCTTCCATTTTTCCGAATTTTAACACATCAAAAATTAAAAAATAACATGTTCAACAACTCCGTACCTTCGTATAGATCTTCAATAGTATTTTTCAAACTTTTTTCAGCAAAATAATCATACAGCTTCCTCAATACTACGAGATATAATTCTTGGGCATCTTCTTGAAGAGGACTTTCCCACCCACATGTTTTTATAAATGATGTAGGTAATGCTGTATCGTCATTTATCTGTAGAAATCATGTACAGTAATGTAAGTATAAGTGTAATACACCGTATTACAACAATAAAACAATATTTGAAAAATTTTTAAATGTAACTATTTTATGCAGATGTGGTGACATAAATTGATTTTTAGTGGCATATTGTAAGGATGCGTTTTTGGGAAAGACTCTTTGCGTAAAAGTAGAAATTTTTTTCCGTATAACGAAGCAACAGTTCACTTGGTGTTAATTATTAAGAATGCAACTCGGGATACAATGTACGTACCTGCAAGAGAGTGAACAGTTTCTGTAATTCTAAAATAATATTATTGCCGTCTTCATTTTTGTGGCAGAATATTTGATTTCTAAATTCTGGTGTCCAGAATAAACTTTGAACTATTACGTTAATGTAGCAACTATTTCCAATATTTCTTAAGCCCACGAGCTCTGCAATTTTTACAAGTACCATATATGAATTCATATTCGTGTTGTATACAAAAAAATCAAGCAAAATCGATTTTTACGTATACGACTTTGATCATTACTTCCTTGTATTGTATAACCATCATATGTCTTCATTTTCTTTGAACAGCAACTAATTTAAGCATTAAACAATGTCGTGTGTTACCTATAAAAAAAAATTACTACGTTGGGTTCGTCTTTGCCATTTCCGATACTTAAATACTAGATCTAATGTGGCAATTGTAGCACAAATTAATAATTGACTGAAGTATTAAAAAATAGTTGAATACACGCATGCATGCCTCTTATTTATTTACTAACAGAAAAAAAGTCTTGTTATTGACATCAAATATTTTTATAAATTGTCTGCAGTGATTATCATAGGTATTTATTTAAGCATTTCATAGCAATATATCTTGAATTTTTTATACAGAACTTCCGTGGGAGACATACGGGAAATAATGCCCTACTTTCAACGCTAGCCATCCCTCTGGAATCGATAAATAATGCGTTTCATAATAGTATGAAAGTATAAAAATTTAACTATTATAATTCTATTGAGAAGATAAGCTGTTTTTAATCGATTTTCTATCCTGATTTCCGAAATAAATTACACCCCTTTCACCGTATACAAATTGTAAAAATCAGTGATTCGTTCAAGTACTCGGTTTTGATACCAAATAATATGACAATAAGTAATTCGTTTCATCTAAATAGTTTTTGACAGACAAACTTTGGCAATTGTAGAGTCATGTAGATAAACCAGTAGTATTAAAAAACTCCTATACATTCTAGTAATAGTAGGTATAAATACCTAAGTATGTTAACAAATTTCTGATTTTACAATTTTTAGAGTGAGTCAAGTTTTCTGAAGTCGCCCACCAAACATCAATGTGTAAAGTACAGCTTAACCAAAATAAAAAGTCTGTTTACTTTGAAGCAATGAAAGATGCCATAGGAAAATAAGAAAATTTAGAAGAAAAAAAAAAAGAAAAAGTAGAGGAAGTAGAACTGGAAGAAGTGGAATCCGGATCATCAAAAGATAAAGATTTTTTATGCCAAGCGATGTACAATAATATGAAAAGAGTGAAGACTGCGGCTGCATATTAAGAAGTGATTACTGCACCACCTGCGAAAAAATTGCAGTTAAAATTGTCAGATGACGATGATATACGTAAATTTCAGGTGTCAATTGCTTACACAAACAGAAAGTACTAACATCTTTAAAAAAAATGTTGCATCTGACTTACCAAATATTTTGAAACACGATTTCCTTGCTAAATCTCAAACATCTTATTTGGAACATATAGAAAAACTTACTAGCTGATGGTGACTTTCTTGTTACGTTAGACTTTTCCGAAAATTATTCCTTTCATTGCAAGATACAATCTAATCTTAGGACTGGAGTAAGGATCAAGCTACGTTACACGTTTATGTTATTTATTCAAAAAAAAATAACTAATTACAATATAACCCACGTAGTTCTTTCCGAATATGAAAATTGCAATGTCGTTGGAGTTCATCTTTACAGTTCGAAAATGATAACGTTTTTAAAATCGAAATTTGACGCCCAAAACGTGATAAAATTTTTTTACTTCTCTGATGGTGCGGGATCGCAATACAAAAATCGATTCAATTTATTAATTGTATTATCACACGAAAGATTTTTACGTCAAAGTTAAGTGGCCATTCTTTGATACGGCACACGGAAAGGGCGTCTGTGATGGTATTGGTGTACGCGTAAATAGGAGCGTGTAGCGTACGAGCTTACAAAATAAAACGATCGTAACAACAAAAAAACTTTATAAATGGGCTCGTGATTTTTTAAAAAAAATTAACTTTTATTTTAGTTCCTTTTGACGAATATGAAAAACATAAAAAAGAATGAGAATTACGTTTTTCTACTGCTAAAACTACAAAAGGAACTCGGCAATATCATTGCTTCAAGCCATTGCAAGTTTGCAAATAATAAATAATATATGCGTATATTCATAAGTTTTATTTATTCCGTAATCGTAAGAGTAGAAAAATTCATATCATAGTTGACGAAAACTCGCCAGCGAGGCGCGATCGCGAGCGACACGCCTGCAGTGCTTACGCGACAATGTTCGAAAATTCATTACTTAGTTTCTTATGGATAATACCAAATTTTTGTTTGCAGATATCAGTAGCTTAATATTAAAGCTTTTAAATAAATAAAAAATATTGTGTTTCTCATGCAGAAGTTGCTTGAATATCAAATTGTGTATTGCAAAATTAATTTTTTATAAATAAATTACATTTTTTTAATCGCTCGATTACACTATTATTTTTTTTTGCTAATGTACTCACTATTAAATATTGGTAAAGTTGTATTAAAAACTTGCTGAATAATCGCTATTAAAAAAAAAAATTTTAGATTACATTTGACATATGTATAAAAAATTATCGCCAAAAAAAATAGAAAATTAGATATGCTGATTTTTGGTGGCCCACTGCAGAAAACTTGACTCAGTGTCAATTATTGGGTGCAATTTTTTAAGCATTTTACAGCACAATTGTAAATTTATTTAAAAAGTGGGGGTACTAAATCGATGTTAATTTAGGTCACCTTATCAATGGAATTATAAAAATAAATGTTTCCTCTAAGTCAAACTTTCCGTCCGCTGCGCTGGAACTAAAAATTATATACGACTCATGACCAGAATTTAATAAGTCTCTGATCATCCATTTACCATCCTCGGATTCTCCTTGGATGATAATTCTCAGACGATCTGACCCTATTTGGATGGAATGAAAAGAAAGGGTTATTTTATAAAAAAATTCAAAAAGCCTTTCACATAAGCAATTGAATGGTAGTTTTCGTACCTGGTGGCGTACGTCGCAAGTGCAAGCACCAGGCCAGAGGGACTCCTTGTGCTTGCCCAAGTTGGATGTGCACAAGGAGCGAACTCTATTTTTCCTACTAAGAGCGCAGTGAACGTCCTAAGGTTAAAAAAAACGCCCAAAGTAAGAAAAATTGTATTATGTAGTAAGTGCGAAAAAAAGGTGTCTCGCACGAGCGGCTAGAGGTGCCGGGAAAAAGTGGACCGCGTGCGATGACATGGCACGAGCTACCGGGCTTATTTTATGCAGCTTGAATTTTAGTGAACTGATACCATTGTACTACAAATGTGGCTATATGGATTAGGTACACCCTGGAATCCACTGGCCTAAGGAATTTTTCTTAATAGTAGTTTTTGTTGTCACATTATTGCCATTGCTGCCGGGACTATGTCGGTTGGATAGCGCTTATATGGTGAACGTTATTTTTTCTACCGAGGGCACGCCTATCATTCAAAGATTTAAAAAATGCCTCTCGTATATATCTATAGAAACAATATTTCCTCCACAGTATGGGTGCGCAAAAATGCACCAATATATCACTATTAACTATAAATATTTTTTTTTTCTTACTACAGTAGCACGGCATTACCTCCTGGTTCAAAGTTTGTTATTAAATGGAGTTCGTGCCGAAATACGATGTACTTTCTTTCCCAACGTCAATGTACATTTAATTTCATTCATTCAGGTATAAAAAGTGTGCAATGATTTTCGTGCATAATGATAATTTTGTGCTGTCTATAATACTTTAAAATCTCAAAAAAAGGTGCATGCACTAACCATTTATAACGGCGTGGAAGATACACACGTGTATGTGTATATATACGCAGTACACTCTGAAATAAAAGCTGTTTAGTACACCTTCACTGAAGCCTATACTTAGTTATATAACAATAGTCTGTTAACACAATTATCCTTTACATTACTAATACGTTAAGTGAATCTGAAACATCACCAACCGTTGTAACAAACAAGTGAAGTAATAAAAACAAAACGGCACAAGAAAGAAGGCATTAGGTAGAGTCTACATAAACATGCATTCTGTGACAACGTTCGGTTCACTCGTATTCGTGCCCCAATCGTTTTCCAACTTTATCCTTAACTGAAACGCCATCTGTACACAAAATTTGTGTACTATCTTATGTATGTACATACATGCATGCATGCATTCAAAATTTAATTCACAGATGCGAAAAGAGATAATATGTAGCAATTTGATCAAACAAGATACATACATAATACCGATTATAGGATAATATATATATATTTTTTTCTAGTTTTGATGTAAATATTTAGGTTGTATACTCACACACACACACACACACACACACACACACACACATTATATAGACCCATAAGATATTATACAATGTACTCGGAGAGATGGAGTTGTTGTTGGGGATACGATTAGAAACGATTGCAATGTAAACACAAATCGAACCCTGTAGTAAATGCACAGTAATCCATTGTAGAAGAATATCAAATGTTTGTTCCGGTTTGTATGAACGCATGTTGGAGAGTAATAAAATAAAATTCTACTGGAAAACACAAATATCTGCACATCTGCAGTATATCCATTGAAACTAGGAACAAAACATCTGCAGTCGGTATAAGATAGTCCGCAATCCATCCTTCACAGTTGCTCATAGGTTATTGCTTTTGTTTGTCGAAGGTACAGCTAAAAATCTTTTGTTCCACGTTTTTGAAAGATTTTTTATGCCAAGCGATGTAAAATAAAATGAAAAGAGTGAAGACTGCGGCTGCATATTAAGAAGTGATTACTGCACCACCTGCGAAAAAATTGCAGTTAAAATTGTCAGATGACGATGATATNTATATCCATTGAAACTAGGAACAAAACATCTGCAGTCGGTATAAGATAGTCCGCAATCCATCCTTCACAGTTGCTCATAGGTTATTGCTTTTGTTTGTCGAAGGTACAGCTAAAAATCTTTTGTTCCACGTTTTTGGAAGATTTAGTAAATAAATTGAGACAAATTGAATTATTAAGAAGTTTGTTATTAATTCTGAATTATTCGATCATTGCGTAAACCGTTATAATGTATTTAATTACGTTACTAATCATAATAACCAGCTTAATTGGCGACTTAATCAGTAATGATGAGAGCAGCAACTGTAGCGTATGTATTTTTTAATAATCTTATTGTAAAATAAGTAACAATGTACTGCTGTGTCATTTATAATAAAGATTAGGATATGCAAAGTTCATTTTGACACAATTTTTAAAGTTAATA